ATTTTTAGTATTTAATCTTCCTCATCTTTCCCCACAAACTGAACCAATTCTAGATTATTACTGAGTCTTTTCAGACCTAATGTTTTAGTTTGTTTCTATGGTTTGTTCTTGGTAGAAGCCCTCATCACCCCACTCAGCAACTAGAACCCTCTCCCAGCTGATCTTCCTTTCTGTGCAGCCCATCTCTCATAAATATACCCTATATGTAGCAGCCAGTATCCTCTGCTTTAGTGTTTGCATTGGTCCTCTTCTTTTCAGGAACTTGTTTGGGTTTATATCCTAGTGTATGAAATCTATTCTGTGTTTCATGGGGTGCAGTTTACATCAGCATTCATTGTTTATATTTGTCATATCGATTCCCCCCCCCCCCCATTTCTGATGGGCTGGCTAACAGCCATAATTCTCATCACTTTTGGTTAAAAACCAAAACATTTTTAAAATAAGAATTCTGAATAATGACATAAATGGAGCTCCAAAAATAGTTCTCTATGATTTAGTATTTGCCTTGATTACTAGCCTATTTTTTTAACGAATAATTTAAAGTAGCTAAACCAAACGAACTTCTCAGGAAACAAATTGGTTTCCTAAAAACAAGGGTAATTAATTATACATTTTATAAATCACTGGGGAACTGATATATCTTAATTGAATAAACTCTGAAGTTCGTTGAGGATAAATTAAGATCCTGTGATTCAATGATAAGAAGTCATTAGTGGCATTGCCCTGATGATCCCTTTTCTCCAATTACAAATTATAAATTAATATTCTTGTTGCATAGTCTCACTGAGTTTATGTTTAGTGTGATCAGTTCCTCTGAGCCCCATAAATACTGAAAGAACAGGTAAGATCAAATTTTCATAGCACAGAGTAACAGAAATCTTTGAGAAACAGCTGTTGAAAATAATAGCCAGCTATTCTCTCATTAAAGGTTGGCTGCAAATGGTAATAAACACTTCTATGTATTGTTTTCCCTACTTGTTTCAGACATTTAATATATATTATCTTTTTAATCCTCAAAGTGACCTTCTGATACAGATGTCATCTTATCCATTAGATATCTTCAAATTGCTAGTACAGAAGATGTATAAAAAAAACTCTATAGAGTTTATTCAGTTAATTGACAAATTTAGAGGGAAGTCACACTACAGGCAGTATGTGATTCAGTGGCTCAGGCTTGTCACCAATGGCTAGTATCTTTTCTTCACTCTTTTCTGCTTTCTGTGAATGCATCTTAGGATGCTTTCATCCTAAGGCTGCCAGTCTTCACGATATTATGTGATGTCATGTTTATGTCTAGTTGTACTTCTTTCTTGGCACTTCTCTCAAAAAATTTTTTCACTCTTCAAGCATCTTTGCCTCTCAGTGTTATTTAATCTTCTTAAGATTTGTGCCTATTCCTGAACCAATCACTTGAGTTAGGGAAGAGATTTCGTCGACTGGGCTAAGCCAGTCTAGCATCACCCTTATTATTGAGGGTTAGGTTAATGCCCTCCAAAATGGTAGAGGGGCAGTCCCATGAGGGAAATTGGGATGAATCAGGGAAAATAGATGTTATACAGCAAACACTGAGTCCCTACTACAACCCTTTCTCATTTGTTTTTTTACAAAATAACAGCAACAATAATAGTAATAGTATAAATACTAAATAGTATTTATAACAGTATATAAACATATAATATATAAATATATAATTAATATATAAAGTATAATAAGTAGTAATAGTGTTTATTGTGTGTACTATGTGCTAGGCACATGCTTGATACTTTAAATACATTTTAGTCTTCAAAGCTGTCTTGAGAAATAAATGGTATTAAATTTGTGTTTTCTAGAAGTTTAGAAAGATTAAACAATTATCCAAGGCCACATGGTTAATCAGACCTAGGTCAGTCTGACTTAGGTGTCCATGTCTTTTCAGCAAGTCATGCTATCTCCCTAGTAAACCATAAGCTGACTATTAAAAACATTGCAAGTATTGTCTTAGAAATTTATCATTGTTACAGAATTCTAGGAAATAATGTATCCCATTTTGGTTTAATGTGCAGCACACCCACATTAAAGTCTTGATAAGCAGAATTACAAAAGGGGCGTGAGTTATCTTTTTTTGCCCACTTTGAGAACCAAGATCCTTATTGCAGTGGTCAGGTAGGATACCGTATGCTATATGTATCCATATGCATATATATGTGTGTGCTGCATGTATGAATATTGCATATATCACAAATTCTAAGAGAGGTTTTTATATTGGCACTTAATGCAAATGACAAAAGAACAAGTTGAAAGGGACAGGCTCTGCCTTCTAAAATAACTTCACAGTGAACACTGAAGACTATATCATCTGATATCAGTCTTCAGTTTATCACTTAATGGTAATAATCAAGTATTGTGGTTAAGGGAATATCTCTGGCCCCGTCTGAGTTATTTTCTGGGTATCCTAACTTTAGTCCCATATTCTGCCTCCTGGGGAGTTTATTTCTTGCTTCAGGGATCTTAATACTTGTACATGCAGAAGGCTTGGGCTTTCAATAATGATTCATAATTATTTAATTTTTATTGAGGTCCTTGCTTCCCTCTAGTTTTCTGCAAGAAGCTGACTAGGCTTGTGGAATGGTGGAACTGTGTTCCTTCCCTTAGTATTACTATGCCTGTGGCTTAAATAACTATAAATTGGAAATAAATTGAAAATTTCCTTTCCTAGATTTAATGACTTTAAGCAGGAAATTGTTCTAAGGCAGAAATACTGTTGGATTAACTACAGAACAATCAGAAACCCCTTCTGTATTTTTGACTGTGTTACAGTATTTGGAAAGAGTTGTATATCGCTCTACCTTCCTAGTACTTTTATTTGCTGGACATCACTTTTCATTCATTATTTAACGCTATTTAAGTGTAGTGTTTGTCTTTGTTTATTCATATATTATGCATTAAACAATATTTGGTAATCTGTTGAATAATAGTTTGTTAAATAATTTGTTGAATAACAAATGTGGGTTGGGAGTACAAAGAGTATTATATCAAGAAGTAAATTTTTAAGAGGCAGATGATAAAGTGATAACTGGAAAAAAAGTATCAGGATTCTACAGAACAGCACTGGAGTTATGTATGTCATATGCTGCTTTTAAATTAAATTGCAGAAAAGATTATTTCATTTAAAAGTTATTCCATAGCTCAGACAGAATACTATGTGGTTTCAAAACCAGAAGGTACATGTTTTCTAAAACAGGTACATATATCTAACAAAATAATTAATATGTGAATATTGGTTCAAGTAATAGCTTGAACTAAATATTAATTTCAAGTCTATTTTAATAAGCATTTTAGTATCTATTAAAGTTGATAAATTAGTGGAATTTTACTTTTCACTATTGAAATCAGGTTTTGTTCTGATTTTTAAGTAAAGCTTGATAGAAACTATTTCAATCATCATCCTGGTAATTTAATATATTTGGTATTCACTTAAAAATAACAGAAAAAAATTGACACCATTAAGTTTATGTTTAAAGCATAGCTTATTTGATTTTGTTAATGGCTCACCTAAATTTGTATAATACTTAAACTGTGAATAAGAGAAAAGGTTAGAAAAGAAGAGAATATTTAAAGGAGAGTTAGGCAGATGTTTATTTTCTAGGTATTCTCATTAAGGAAAAAGCCATTAAGTCTTCACCTCTATAGCTTTTCTAGTTAAGAAAGCATAGATCCCTGATGAAGAAAGTAAAAGAACAAAATAGTCTAGAAATGACAAATAAAATGCTAATCCCTCTTTTAAAATTCTGGTTTAATATCTGGGGGCCTAATAGAGAAAGTGGGAAAGATTGTTTTTGGAGAACATGTATTTTAATATACTTTAACTCTTTTTTAGTAGTGCAACAAACTATAAAGTAACTAAAAAGAAAAATAAGTCTAAGCTTTTAATGTTATATTAAAAATGAATGCAAAGTTTTATGGTTGCATTATTCAGTATGGTAGTCACTGACCATATGAGGCTCTTGAGCGCTTAAAATGTGGCTAGTGCTTCTAAAAAACTGAATTTTAAATTTCATTTCATTTTAATTGATTTAAATTAAAATACTGATATTCAGTTATTGGAAAATTTTAAGCATGTTTGGAACATCTTGGGTATGTGAATCTACTTTTCAGCTGTAAATTTAATGAAATCTAAATATAGATCAAATATTTCAGATGAAAGTTACATCTAAATTGAGATGTACCATAAATGTAAATATCATATTTCAAAGATTGTGATTTTAAAATGTAAAATATCTCAACTATAATTTTCATATATGTTTTGGATATATTAGATTCAAGAAAACTATATTATTAAAATAATTTGCACATTTAAAACTTTAAAAAAATGTAGCTACTAGTAAACTTCAAATTACTACTTGGCTCATGTTATGTATGTCTTAGACCATAAAGGTTTAAGAAGTTTTTCTAAGACTTCACTGGAATTTATTTGATGCATAAAAATGCAATCTGGGTCAGTGAGTAAATCAGGCCAAAATCATAGCATTTTTCTTTTTCTCTCTGGACATTGCTATCAGTTATGTTGGTGTTAATAGTCTAATTTTTTAAGCAATCGCTGAATCTAATAGCTAATCCAATATAATTTACTTTTTACATACTCATATTTGACTCATAATAATATAGTTTTCATGTGGCATTAGAGAAAATCAAATTCCATAGATATTAATGAAGCAAATTGGTAAAAATAGTGATAAAGGAAAAAGTATGATTTTTGAGTGTTATTATGACCTGGATAATGTACAGTATGAAACACTTAAAGTACTTAAACTGTATCTAGAAGAGATTATGGTGTCTGTTTTCTAATATGATATCTTCTTTTCATGTTTTCTGTTATCCTCACCTCAAACAAATTGGGCAAAAAGCATGGCCAAATGTGTAATGCATTTTGCTCTGTCAAATATTCCTAATAGATCCAAATAGATGATAAATGTTACTTTCATCATAACTTTGTCTCATTGTTCATCTGTCAATTCCTCTAGGAGGTGATTTCCTCACCTTTCTGAGAAGGAAGAAGGATGAACTAAAACTCAAACAGTTAGTGAAATTTTCATTAGACGCTGCTGCTGGTATGTTGTATCTCGAGAGTAAAAACTGTATACACAGGTAAGGAGAACATTTTTAAAGCAATTTTTGGTTTTATTAATAGAATGTTGGAAAGCTGATGTATTTGCTACAATACAGAACTCATTTTCTTTCATGAAACTCACGGCTTTTCTTGTTGTTTTCTGTATTTTGTGTGAACGTGTCCTCTGCTGATTGTTTATATAGTTTATACAAACACTCATTTTTCCTCTTACTTGAAGTGAGTACCTAAGTAGATAGTGATTTGCCTTCTAGTTAGAATTTGTTTTATTATAATCATGAACAACAGTCACATGGAATGTACTACAATTTAGTAATATAAGAAACTACAGCCTTGTAATCAGGTAAGATTGTTTCATGTGTTGTCTATTCTCATTTTCCAAAGAAATTACATATGAAGTCATGGTAAAGCATAATAGTAAAACAGCAATTCATGACAGTGAATTTGGTCAAAAGTAAAAGATTTCAGACTCATTTAAGGCTCTTTTGGACGAATTAATTTTTTTTTTTCATTTTAGTACCTACTAATTCATGGCATTGTATTGAGAAAATAAATACTAGTTATTTCAAAGGAGATTTTACGAAACTTGTTCTGATTATATGTAGTGACCTGGTCTTAATGCTTTATACACTGTGGTTTTAGTTGCTTGTAGCAGGAAGTGTTTTTTAGTGCTAAATGTCAGTACAACTTAGAATCTGTTGCAGAATTCATGTCAGATCCTAAATATGGCTAAGTATAAATAAGCACAATGAAGTGGAGAACTGATGCAGTTTTTATGCACCAGAAACTGTGCATAATACTGTTTAATGTGGAACAGGGTTCATTGCTAGATTGAGCTGTTACACACTTTATGTAACTGGTTTTGTTACCGAAGTATGCTTTTCTCTGAGGGGTATCATTGTCTAGGCTTTGCTTTAACACTCTAGTGAGGTTATATAATGTATAATTAAAGGAAAGCAAAGTTACCATCATCTTAACTATACATTTATGTGATCTCAATAGATATTTTTGACTTAAATGTCCCCACCCCACCCAAATTTTACTTAGTGTTCAGCTTTATTCTCAAACTATAATTATGACCTGTATTTTAAATATGGTTCAACAATTGCATATATTTTAAAATTCATTTCTATGGAGATGTATTTTTTTGGAAATTAACTAAACATAAGACATTATCATTGTATTTCTGTTTTACTTTCTATGACTATAGATTGAATCACATGATAAGAATTGACTTAAAAAGCTTTTGATTCTGGATAAAAATTGTACTATCATTAATTTCATTAGCGGTCAACACTGTGTTAAAAGTAACCATTAAGGTTTTGCTCTTCATTTGGAGAAAATGTGTAATTTCTATTGCTGAGGTATTGAGGTGTTTCAAATTCTCTTTGGTAATTACTCCTTTTGTCTCTGATTTATTTCATACTATTAGACTGGCTGTGGCTTTAAACTGTAATAAATGCACATTATTGAAACCTTTTTTTTTTGAGGCAGAGTCTCCCTTTGTTGCCCAGGCTAGAGTGCAGTGGCACGATCTCGGCTCACTGCAACCTCCGCCTCCCGGGTTCACGCCATTCTCCTGCCTTAGCCTCCCGAGTAGCTGGGACTACAGGCGCCCGCCACCACGCCCGGCTAATTTTTTGTATTTTTAGTAGATGGGGTTTCACCGTGTTAGCCAGGGTGGTCTCGATCTCTTGACCTCGTGATCCGCCCACCTCGGCCTCCCAAAGTGCTGGGATTACAGGCATGAGCCAACACGCCCGGCCTTAAACTTTTTTTAATTTGTCAGTTACCACAACTATTCTTTAATTTCTGGGACATTGCATTTGAGAGGACCATTGTTTCAATCTCTTGCTACTTTTTATAGTGATTATTTTTTTTCAAAAATGGATCACTGTGTAAATGTCTATGTCATGAGAATTGAAACTATTCTACATTGTAGATGGCAGTTAGCTTTTTTGAATTCATTTCCCTCTCTAAATCATAATATTATCTGCTGTAATGTTATTTTTCCCACTTTACTTTTTAAGAATTTTCATGTCTTCACAAATTTTTGAAAGTCAACCCTTTCTTGACCACATATCCTAGCAGGTTATGCATAGACCTATGCCATTTGCCTACTGGGAAGGTTTCCCAGTTGAACATCTTGAACAATGTCAGTGAGAGCGGGTTTGACAAATAGGCTTCAGCACTAGCGCCAACTTTTAGTGAATGGTAGGGACTCTCCCTGTATACGTTGAGAAGAATTCCAGGAACAGCCGTAAAGAGTCCAGTGATCAATTAGTCACATCTGCCAGGGTACACACTAGTATTAACACACACACCCCAATTTGTCATCCTTGGCATAGAATATCTTCTTTTTGTCTTTATTCTCATAAATACTTTTCTGGCATTTAAAAATGTTTGTTATGACTTTTCCTTACTAGCCATAATATAGCAACAATATAATATTTTTCTTTAATCACTTTCATTGAATTCTTCTAAACTATCTGCTTTCTTATTTCCTTTGTTAATCATGAGTGCTAGATGAATTTTATGATATCTCCCAACTAGTGGTCCTTTGTTCCTCTTCAGACTCATTAAATGCTCTTTTGGATAATTTTTTTTTCATTTTAATACCTCACCAATTCATAGTATTGTATTGAGAAAATAAATTATTCTTTGTGTTGATTTTTTTCTAATAGTGAATTGTGCTTTAGAACCCTGTTCCTATGTGCCAGCCTATGCAGCTTTTTCTTTGGAAATAGTAGTAGTTACAATATAATTTTACTTGATGTAAAGTTAAGACATAGATTATGTGTGTTTTTGCTCCTAAGAAATATGACAGAAAAAATATAGGATTTACTACAGTGAAAAGGTTTTTCCTCACCGAAAAAAATTTCTAATGAGGCATTTCAAAAATGAACTAAAATAATGTAAAACATGATTGAAAGTTCCCTTTAGTTTTTCAGGTAATGAGCAAAAGTTCTAAGTCCCATTTTTGATATGCCAAAACATAACAAAAATAAGTGCATGTCTATGAATTACAAAACCTGTGTCCAACAAATCCAAGCAAAAATTTTAAACCTGCTTTAAATTTTATATGAATTTACAAATTTTATCCTGTTCACTGACTGGAGATCACTGGAACTCAGTACACACTTGAAAATATTTCCAATTGTCTCTTCCCAAAATAGTGTTTTTAACTTTTGAAGGACACACATTCTTTAGCTTTGTTTTGTTGTTTTGATATGAGAAGAGCAGAGCAGTGTTTCATTATAGGAAAACAATTACAACACCTATAAAATGGAAAGAGGTTACCGCATTAAGAAATGACCTGCATTTGGAAATGTTCTTGTTGTAATTTCCATTTAACTTCCAGAAGAGTTGTCTTGCTACAGGTTTCTAGTGGAAACTGTTTCTGTTTACAGCTTGAGGATTGCTGTATAGTTGGAATTTTGGTTTAGTTTTAATCAGTGGCATTTTATTTAAAACTATTCTATAGGCCAGTGTGAAATTTTCTTTCCTACTTATACTTTATTAACTGTTTGAAATACACTGATAAACTTTGTGGTCTGTGTAACAAAGGTATGTTACTAGATTGTTAGATGTCATCTATAAAGAATATTCTGATTTTGAAGTTAAGGGGATTCAGGATTGACATACTTGATATAAATGGTAATGGCATTCATTTATGGTTTTATTCTTGATGAATCTTACTGGCAGATTTGTTTTTATTCGGGTTTATTTCTAAAAGTTGCCTTTGTGCCATTGTTCTTTGATAGCTACAGAAAGTAAAAGGAGGATACACTTTATATTGCCATATACTTGAGTGAAAGACCGTAATCAATGGGGAGTTTGGGGAACATTTCTTAATTTCATATGTCATTGTCAGTATCAAAAAAGATATATTTTGGAGGGGTTAAGTAAAATATTTCTTTTTCTAATTTTCAACTCTATACTGATTCTCTTCATGTTTGGTTCTTCTAACACAGTGATTTTTTTTCATCATGGAGTAAGCTAACAACTTTACAAATTAGAGTATATCCGACCACATTTATTTTATTAATCAGTCAGAGTTTTGCTTATCCATTGAAAACATTGATTTTCCAATGTTTCACAAATGTGGGCAGTTGCCTACTCTGTGCCAGGGGCTACCAAAATGAAGATTATAGTCACTGCCCTCAGATGGATATAACAGAAGTTAACAATAATGCAAAGAGATAGTCAATTTTGTGATAAAATCTACAGAATTCTTTGGGAGTAATATCAAGAGAATCTAATATGACCTGTCAGTATGGGGACTATGATGGGAATAATCAGGGAAACTTTGCAGAGAATACTCTCTGAGTGAGACTTGGTGGATAGGTGTGTCACTGAATAGAAGGAGAAAGAAGATTCCAGCGAAGAAAAATTGAAAGCAAAGTTACAACGCTTTGTAAGAGAGAGCGTGAATTAATTGTGGACATCTTGTTGAAAGAGTATGAATTTTAACTGGAAAAAGAAAACTAATTTGAATTTACAAAACCCTAAAAAATGTATAATCTCATGTAAATGTATATGAGACCAATATTATTTTTAAGCTTCATTGGGAAAACTAATTTAGGAAGGCTAAGATTGCCAGAAAGGGAATAATATTATATTTCATTTATATGTTCTAGAAGAGATTGCCTTGTCCAGTGATTTCTAATAAGGATTACTTATGTGTACTTTTTAAGTTAAATGTAAGATGCTGCTTCCAGCTTTTATTTATGTGAGTGTGTATGGTTTTTTTTGAGACTTCATATTTTATTAAGTAAAAGATTGGTATGCTGCTGACCATTTACATTTTTCCCGATGATCTTTGAGGGTTTTTTTCCTCTATTTTTAAACTGTAAATGATTACCTAGTGTCTGAGCTTTTCCTAAACTGTGAATATACTGAAAAAGTAGTTTGTCTTTGGTGCACCTTCATATCATTTAAATGGTAAAATAAAGACAGATAAATATAAAATGTTTTCTGTGACGTATTTGAACCCGTCATCTTTTCTGTCACTCGTGAT